TTCGGGGTGGGGGAACAGGCACTATGTCTTTCATCCTATCCGGCTGGTTCTGGGATCTGACTCCCTCAAGAAGAAATAGAAGGAGAAGGACGTGCCAGAAATGGGCACTTACAGGTGGGCCTGGGCTACCTGAGGTAACATGGGCCCCCTTTAACCTCCACTGCCTGTCTCCAGGGGACAGCTGCTGGGCCACTTTCTCTGCACTCATTCCCTCAGTGCCCTGGGTCTTTCTGCAGCCTCTCCTGACCCCTCCCATCCCATTTGGATCCAAGAAGCCTGTCCCATTGCTTCCCTTGCCTCTGTCTGCCCAGTGTCTTCTTCAGCTACCCAGTGCTGCCTGCAAGACAGGCTGGAAGCTGAAGGGCTGGAGGAGGAGCCAAGCTGATGCCTCCCTCCCTCGGGGGCCCTCCAGACAACATCACCAAGCTTAGGAAGTAGATAGAAGCTCTTCCCTATGTCCTCCCTCACATTCCTAGATCCTCGGGTTACAGAGTGCTGACGGTGCTCCCCACCACCACCCCAAGGCTGGCCTAAGAACTAGTCCTGAGTCCCTTTTGTCACTGGTCTCCTTGTGTTCCACAACCTGTCCCTGCGGCCAGGGTCCTTAGGCCCTGAGGTTTATCGCTCTTACTGGCGTGGTGCCACTGTTCTTGATTCAGTGCCAATTCCGGCAAGCGGTAGCTGTGCAGTTTGCTTCCTCTTTAGCGGGACCATACATGTTCTGGCACACCTCGCCTAAATGACCCTTCTTCCACTCGCCCCAGAATTCTGATTGAAAGGTCACAGTCCCTGGTCACAGTTTGATCACAAATGTCTGTGCAGATTTTGCCCAGAGTGCTCTTGGTCACCCCCATGGACTCCCAAACCCCATAACCTAATCAGAAGGAGGAAGCCCATCACACAGGGTGTCTGGGAGTTGCAGCAATCTGTCCTAGACTCCTTGATCTGCAAGAGGAACTAGGGGCCCCTCAGCCTGTGAATGAGGGCCAGAGAGGAATGGGGACTGGCCCTGCACATACACAAATGCCTTCCTGCTGTGCCTCTTCACACCCTGTCCTCTCTGACCAGCTGTCTGGAGCCAACAAGCCCAGCACTTTTGATTTGAGGGTATTAAGAAAGAACTGAGAATGTGAATAAGGAATGCACTGCAGCAGCACATGCATCCAGGCCAGCGGCTACCTCAGACCATTGTCTGCAGAGGGCAGGTACAATGTGCCACAGCCTGTTTTGCCCTTCCTGTGGATAGCAGGCATTTACCTGGCCTCCATGCCCCAGAAAGTCCTGACTGACACACTGGTCTTCTAAAAAGGTAGACCAAAGACTGTCCAGAAGGTTCAGTGAACAAAGGGACCAATTCCCAAGCTGGAGGACCTGAGCTTGATCCTCATAGTCAACTCTGGAAGGTCTTCCTCTAACCTTAACGAATCCACTATAGTTCATGTGTACATGTCTACACACACAGGCACATGTGTGCGCACGTGCACACACTCACATATACACAAATACATCAAATGTAATGCAAATCCCTGAAAACCAAAATATAAAAACAGAAGTAAAGCAGAGCTTATCACATCCTGCTGAAAACCCTCAAGATCCCCCTGCACTCAAAATCCTTCTTCCAGCAGGGTGCTGTGGCTCATGGACCTAATCTCAGACAGAAACAGCAGGATCTCTATGAACTTGAGGCCAGCCTGATCTACATAGTGACCTCCAGAACAGCCATGGAAACCTAAAAATACCCTGTCTTAAAACAAATAAACAAAGACTACTGTCCTTGTCCCTGACCTAGAGCTCGCCCAACTGGAGAGGAAGACATAAGGAACAAGACTGAGCAGGACTCATAAGGGTCAGTGCTGCTTAGAAAAGGAGCAGAGGGAGATTGAAGACCTGGTATGTCAGATGGAGTCACTTCCTGCAGTGGACAGCCCTGGCCTGGCACAAGCCCCACTGATACACTCAAACACATGCATTGTGCAAATGTGCACACATAAACGCACAAAAGCATCTATACTTCCACATACACATGCTTTCACATGCTCCTGTAGAAACATGAACACATACACTTACAGGTACAAACACATGAACAAGTAAACAGACACATGTCCATATAGTACACACAGATATAGAGACAGATGTGTACAACATGCACATACTGGTTGAGTTTGCTTCTTGTTGCTGTGAGAAGGAAAGGATTTATGTGGCTTGTATGTCTCAGTTCCTCTTTGAAGGAAGTCAGCAAAGAAACTCAAGCTATGGTAGATATCATGGAGGAAAGCTGCTTGCTGGCTTGTCTCCTGGCTCACTCCCAGGTCTATTCTCCCATAGGTCTCTTATACAGCCCAAGCATATTTAGGGATGCCTAAGGATGGTATCACCCAAAAAGGGCTGGCCCTTCCCACATGAATCATCACTGACAATGATTGCCCCACAGACTAAGCCCACAGGCCAATCTACACAATTCTTGAGGTTCCCCATCCCAGGTGACTTTAGGTTGGATCAAGTTGGGAGCTGAAGAGAACTAGGACACACACATTTATACTGGACCCTACACTCCTTGGAGCCTCCTCCTGAAACCAGCAAGGAGATGGACTCCTGACCAGCAAATGAGTTTAATCAGAGCTCAAGGTCGACACAAACCCACAAACCCTCTACCTGATGAACTGGTTCTGGGGTTTTCTCAATACAATATAATGTTTCCCTTTTGTCTGAATCAGGAGCCAACAAACCCAGAACTTTTCATTTCAGATTAGTTTTAAAGTCCCAAAAGTGTGAACAAGGAGCTGCACCAGGCAAGCTCCCATCCAGACCAGTGCCCTGTCTTCATCATGGAGAGACCACACCAGGTTAGCACCACAGCTATGGGCCCCTCCAATAGAGAGGGCCTGCACATCTCTAGAGTCAGAATATGAATGAGCTTCTTGATTTCTGGGATCCTGGTAGAGAACAGATCTGTCTAGCTATATGTCTTCAAAGGTTGGACAGGCTGCAAACATCCTATTCGTGAAGAGCTGGGAGATGTCAATGAAGAGACCTGGACCTGGAAGCAGCCTGTTCCTACCATGGCCAAGCCTGGGAGAAGGGACACTCTCAAGAGCCCTACCTTAAACCTGGGGCTCAAGCTGCAATACTCCAAAGCCTAAGAGAGATCTGGGAGGGCTGGTTGTGAGGAACTGTGTGCTGAGGGTAGGTCCACAGCACCTGATACCAGAACACTATGGCCCTGAGGAGCCTGCAGCTAGATTGTGGGCTTCTACTAAACTCCAGGTTTATTTAAAGCATTTTTTCTTTATTTTTATTTTATTCTTTGTCTTCTTGTGTATCTGTGTGTGTAGTGCCCATGAAGGGCAGAAGAACACACTGGATGCTCTGGAACTTGGTTACTAGCTACCATGTGAGTGCTAGGAACAGAACTTGAATTCTCTGTAAGAGTGTGCATGCTCTTAACTTCTGGGCCATCTCTACAGTTCCCCGGGAGTCCAGAGCTTTTAAAATAATTGCCTCTATTGAGAAGCAATTCATATGACATATACTCCAGCCATTTGAAAGTGCATACTTCTGGGAGTCTAGTATATTCAACCATGTATAGACAAGGTGGTTCATGCCTTTAAGCCCAGCGTTCAGGAGGCAAAGGCAGGTGAATCTCTGGGAGTCCCAAGCCAGTCTTGTTTATCTTGTGAGTTCCAGGCCAGCAGGGGATACATAAAGAGACCCTGTCTCCAAGTTCAATTAAATAAACACATGCATAGATAGATAAACCTGTGTGGCTATTGCACACACCCTAGGGGGGAAAAACACTCCAAAACCACTAGGAGTTTCTCCCTCTTTTTTCATCCCTTAATCAGTGGCAAACACTAACAGATTGGTTTATTTTGGAGATTTCATACAGGATAACTTGCACAGTGACGGGGTGGGTGTGTGGTCGGTTGGTTGGTTTGTGTTGGTTTGGTTTAGTTTTGGTCTGGGTCTTCTGCTTGTGGCCATGTTTTCAGGGTTCATCCACATTCTGCACTGTATCTTAGAAGTGTATTCATGCCTCCCAGTTGCCATGCAAGCACCCTACTGTGGGTTGGTGACAGAGCTTAGTTATAGGACACTGTCTTGCCTGGTGTGGGCAGGGCCCAGAACTCAGCAAAATACTGTACAGATTTACTATTTTTTAAAATCTATGTATGAGTTGATGGACATTCAGGTCACTTAAGGGTTATCTGCTTGATACTTTAAATGTTACCACAGAGACCTGGAGAGATGGTTCAGGGGTTAAGAGCACTTGCTGCTCTTACAGAGGACCGGTACTCAGTTTCTGGCACCCACATATGGTGCACTTACATGCATGCAAACAAAGGACTCACACACATAAAATAAACATTTTTTAAATCTCAAGAAAAACTTTAAATACTACCATAAACATTGGTGTACACATTTGATCTGTTTGATATCCTGTTTGCTTTTTCAGCAACATTTACCATTGATAGCCACAACCCCAGGATGACCTCTTGCTTTGGATATGCAGCTAAAAGTCCAACTGCTAGGTCACCTGGTAACTCTACATTCACCCGTTTGAAAATTGCCTTTGCATTCTAGAACAGCTCTACTGTTTTCAGTTTCCTGTCTGCTTGGACCTCGGGGTTTGTTTTTCTACAGCCTTACTACTAATTACTTAAGATGACAGCCAGCCAGCGAAGCAGCCTTTGATGCTATCTAGTTTTGATTTCCATTTTCCTGATAACTAACAAGATGCTTGCTGGCAACTGGCACAGTTGTAACTCTCTAGAGAAGTACATTCTGATCTTTTACTATGGCCCAGATGTTTAAGAAAGAATTAGCACTTTGAAGTTATAGGAAGCCAGACCAAAAAAAAAAAAAAAAAAAAAAACCCAAAAACCCAAAAGAACAAAACCGGAAGCTCCCTGTCACCAGGATCTCAGGGGTTTCCCTAAGCCCAGGCGGTCTCCCAGGAGGAGGAGCAGGCTAGGGCAGGCTGCGCCCCGCTGTTCCGCTGTTCCGGGTGGGAGGGCTACTTGAATGCGCCCAGCGCCCAGCGACTACTTTGGGCTGCAGCTTCATGGTTTCACTTTTGTGTCCTGACGCCTAGAGAACCACTCGTGCTGGTGGCTCCGGTTGCTCACGGGTTGAAGAGACAAGAGACCCCTCCCCGGCACCCCAGAACATCCTTGCTTCGCTTAGTGAGCCCAAACACCTCGGTAGAAGTGAAAATCGAGGTGAGCAACCCTGCTACTCAGCCCCTCCCAGAGCCCAGCTGCCCCTACTCTGGTGTGGTCTCTACTCTATGGCCTTGATGCCTGCTTGTTAAGTTGGGGATTCAGCCTTCCAGAAGCCCCACTATACCAGACAGATTGAAGAGACCCTAGCAGCTAGGGCCTAGCCTCTATGGAGGCCACCAACTAAGGATACAGTGGGACCAGCCTGGTTTGGGCTTGATGCTGGCAGGGGGAGGGTGGGCAACGGGGAGGGGGACCAGCCACTCTCTAGGATTCTGGGCTGAATGCTGATTCTGGCTCACAAATCCCTCCCTGATCCCCAAGGGCCTTCTTCCCTCACTTTCCACCATTAGCCCTGAGGCTCTGTTACGTAGGGGTGTAACTGTTGCTCCACACTGCACAGGTTGTCTGCCTCAGGCCTGTATTGGTCTATGACTCATGAAGGTTTAAGGAGGTCACATAACTCACAGAGCTGTACATGACAGCCTGGAGGAAACCACCAAACCCTGGAACCACTGAACACTGACTTTGCTGTGGGCTCTTGTGCCAAATCCCTTAGAAGTGAGGGCTCGAGTTCTTTCCCCAGCCTTGGCCCTCAGCCAGGTAGCACAACAGGGTATCTTAGACTTCAGCAGGTGACCAGGGGTGACACACAGTAATTAATGGTGTGGATAGTGCAGGACCTGCTACCACAGGCTGCCTCCTCTTCATCTTCAGTCAAGTGTCAGAGACCCCAGGGAGAGACAGATAAGTGAGCCACAGAGTGAACAGAGTGCTCTGTGTTGTGTTGGTCGGGCAGGATGTGCCAGGACTAACAAGGCAAGGCTACTCTGAAGGGATGGGGTCCTGAGTGCTGGGGGCAACTAAGTATGGACATCTGCCATCCGGACCCAGGATCATGCCATCAGCCTTTGAGAAAGTGGTCAAAAGTGTGATCCAGGAGGTGGGTGGCAGCAGAGGAGATCTCATCCCAGTGGACTGCCTTCGGAATTCGACCAGGTTCAAGCCCTACAGCCTCCTGAGCAGGAGACTCTCAAGCTCATGGTTCTGGAAACCCCGTTATATTTGTGTCAACCTGTCAATCAAGGATATTCTGGAACCAAGTGCTCCAGAACCAGGTATCTTCTTTACCCGCTCCCCTCTTCCCAATCCTGAGCCCCCATATTGAATAGAAGAAGGGAGTAGGTGAAGCCCAGCCTGCCATCTTACTGGGCATGTTTAGCTCTACTCCTCTGGCCCTATTTCCAGAGTGGGGAGTTCTTTAAAGGCCCCATTGCTACAGAGGAAAGAGAAGGCAGTGGCTACTGGAATAGGACAGTAGAGCTGGTCTCGTTTTAGAACCGGAGTGTATTGGCCACTTCCAAGTCTCTGACGTCATCGATGGGAACATTCAGGGCAGTGTGGCAGCTTTTTTACCCATTGGAGAAGGGAAAATTTCTGGTGAGGCTGCAGTGTCTGACAGTGCCAGTGCCTCCATGAGTATGTGTATACTGCATGTGAATCCAAAGACCTGGGATATCATGGAGCGTGAAAGGTGAGTCCCTGAAGGGATGACGGCTCTCTAACCTTGAGCATCCATGCTTCTTGGGAAAGTTGCTGGGTTCTGGGCATCAGAAGGATTCTGAGGCAGTATCTCTCAGCACTCAACAGGGAAGCCCAAGAGGAAGGGAGCAGTATAAACAAAGTCAGGTGGGGAGGGATGTTAAACCTTGGTTGCCAGGACTCTATCCTGAAGATCAGGATCTTAATGAAGGGCCGGAGTCCCTTGGAATCAGGCTGAGCTCCTGGTTGATATCAAAAGTGTATTATGTGGAGCTGGAACATTGATGGATCATACATAATGGCGTCCCTCCACAGGCACAGGCATCCACTTCTCTGTGTTTGAACTTGTCATTACCCTCACAAGCAACTAGACACTGTTGGGACTGCCCTGGAAGGGTTCTCAAGCATGGCCTCCAAAGACTCCTGGATTCCCTAGCGTTTCCATCTCACCTGTCAGGAGAATGCTGGGGAGGGAGGCTAGTCCATGATGGGCAAGCCCTGGCAATCTTTCTGTAGGCACCTGCAGCAGCCTGAGAATACAATCCTGCAACAGCTTCGGAGGCGTGGGGATGATGTGTTTGTCATCACTGAGGTGCTGCAGACAAAGGAGGAGGTGCAGATCACCCAGTCCCACAGCCAGGAGGGCTCGGGCCAGTTTACACTGCCTGGAGCCTCATGCTTCAAGGTATGTTATGCTACTCCTAACACTAGCCTAGTCCTACTTGGGCACAGAGCAATGGCAGGAATCTTAGAAGCCGGGGCAACATCCCAGGCAGTGATGGAAGACTCTTCTAAGACCCCTCCAGTAGTAACCAATAGCCCCACTTGCCCAGTTAACTGGAACTGCTAAAAGCTGGAGAGTCCATTACCAATGACAAGCCTGTCACCAACACTCCACTCATAGCTATTCACTCTACACCACTGAGCCCATATCCATCCTTCAGGGTGAAGGCAAGGGCCACAGAAGCCGGAAGAAGATGGTGACCATTCCTGCAGGCAGCGTCCTTGCATTTCGAGTGGCCAAACTGCTCATTGGCTCTACATGGGGTGAGTGGCAAGGGACTGTCTCTAGAGTCCAGACTCTGTGGCAGAGAAGCGCTTCAGCTAGACAGCGGATGCTGTGGGTATCTGGTTGCATGATCTCCCAGACAGGATGTTAAAGTGTGCCAGGACTGAGATGTGGGTCATAGGGGAAGGGTCTCATGAGGTCCCAGGAGCCCTGGGGATAATGGATTGATGACCTGCTTGCTTCTGATTGCTGCCAGGTATCCATCACATCTTGGATGAGAAAGAGAGGACCTTTGAGCCCTCCTCAGGTAAGGTCCCAGACCCTGTGGCCCTTTTTACTTCTTAACTTTGAGGTGTTCTGTGCTCAGGGCATGAGGTGGGCACACACCACATGTGTACACAATGGGTGAGGCTTAACTCAAGTGATGTTGCTGGGCCTGCTTAGCTTTCCATCTGCCCTGGGCTGCCTGTAGAAGGAGGGATGGGTCTGGGAGGGTCCAGGTAAAGATCTCATCCCTCTTTGACTTGATACAATGGTCCCTGGGTCACTAATCAGAACAGCTCTTCCCCTTCCACCATCTGGATTTATTGCCTAGACCACAGAAGAGGAGTGGACCAGGAGCACCATAGCTTTAATCTGCTCGCTGCACTGCACTCCATTGGTGAGAAGCTCAAATTCATGTCAGGTCAGTAATGCCTTGACCACCCTGGAACTCCAATGCTTCTTTATTTACTCCCTGGACCTACCCCTCCTAACTAATGTTCCCCAAGACCTCATGGGCTTCGTGTGGTACTGCCCTCTGTCCCTCCAGATGGAATCCCTGAGGAAGAAGAATTCAGGGAAGACTTCCAAGGCCTGTATGCAGAGGTGAAGACTGGCTCTTTACAGCTGGGGAACTTAGAAATGGAGTTGAGACAACAGCTGCTAGTGGACATTGGGAGGATTTTACAGGACCAGCCCAGCCTGGAAGCCTTAGAGGCCTCAGTGAGTGAGAGTGCTGGTGGTGGACAGGGTTTGGACAAACCTGCTCAGCCTCACTTATTCCTGCCTCCCTCAGCTAGGGCAGGGCCTGTGCAGTGGTGAGCAGGTGGAACCTCTAGATGGCCCAGCAGGCTGCATCCTTGAGTGTCTGGTGCTAGATTCTGGAGAGCTGGTGCTGGAACTCACGGCCCCTATCTTCTACCTGTTGGGAGCACTGAATGGTGAGCATCCAATGGAAGCATTAGTAGGGGACTGGAAGGGAAGACTAGGTTCTATACTGGGCATACTGGAACTCTCTCTCAGTGCAGATCTCTCCCCAGTGCTGAGTGAAACTCAGAGGCAGCTGCTGGCTAAGGCTCTGGAGACAACAGTACTGTCAAAGCAGCTGGAGTTGGTGAGAGAACCTGTCCTTGGGGGTCAAATGGGGCCCTTGGGACATCGAGGTTGACATGGGAAGGTGCTGATTCCCTCAGGCTCAAACTACACTCAGCATTTATAACCTCTTACCCGTCTCTGTTGGTAGGTGGAGCACATCTTGGAACAGAGTACTCCATGGCAGGAGCAGAGTTCTGTGTCCCTACCCTCTGGGCTTCTATGTGACAGCTGGGATGAGGAAGCTCCCACCTGGGTCTTGTTAGAAGAATGTGGCCTAAGGGTGCAAGTGGAACCCCCCCAGGTGCACTGGGAACCAACCTCTCAGGGCCCCACATGTGCTCTCTATGCCTCCCTGGCCCTATTGTCTAGTCTAGGCCAGAAACCTCATTAGCCTGCAGGTCTCCCTTCCAGCAACATCTCCATGTCCTACCCTCCAGCCAGGACAGAATCTTGCCAAGCCCAGCCTCTAGGAAAGCCAAGTACCCAACTCAGTAACAGGGTTAGAATGCAATGACACCCAGGAGTTGGAAAAATTCAATAAATGTACAAACAAAAGCATAGTGCTGCGTTTTTGAGAAATACTGGATCATCATTAGGATGGGAAGCGGGGGGTGTTGCCCACACAAAATCAAGATGGATAGGATGGCTATCACTCCTGTGACCTACAGACAGGCAGATTCTGGGAATCAACAAGTCTCATGGCACAGGGGAGTTCCTGGGCTCTGTGTCTAGTAAGAAGATGTTTCTAACTGATGTGGCCAAGGGTTCTGATCACCCCTGGGAGCTTGCACAGCTAGGGGAAGTGTTTGGTACTCGGTGGGGACCACACCACCTCTATAGTGCAGCTCAGCCTTAGCTTTCTGAGAGGTGGAAGTAGCAACAGCTTCTTCCTGATAGGTGCTTTCTTTCTCAGTGATGTAAACACAGGCCAGAGTAGACCAGATTAAAAGTAGATATGGCAGGTTTCTTAGGAGGCAGCTCTCAGGTGGGTTCACGGATGTCACACGTGGAGGTCAGGGAAGTTGCACATCCAGACTAAAGCAAGAAGGTTTCATGGTTCTAGGAAGTGGAGTGATGACACGTGATCTAGGAGCTGGGACTGTGTCCATCCATTGTCAAAAACTGAGCCCTGGCCGGAAACTCCGAGATGAGAAGTGATGACAAGTTATCCCAGAGTTTTCTCCGAGCAGGTGGAGTTATGGGAAAGAGAAGGAGTTGGGATTTCCAGGCTTGTTCCTGAGATGAGCAGGGGTTCCATCCTAACATGCCAACCTCTTTGGGTCCAGGGGTTCCTGTTCAGATGTGGCTACTTCCTGCTGAAGAGGAATGGCATGAGGTGGGAGGGTGAGGATTTGCTGGGTTCCAGCTCGGGAACTATGGGTGCAGAAGCAATTGGTTGTCTGTCATCCCGCAGACTTCAAAATCCCATTTGTAGAAGCAGAGGGGAAGGCATGGATCTAGAAGGAAAATAGATTAGTATCCTCTGTCCTATGAATGGGCTAGCCTTGTGTGAAGAGCAAAGGCTGCCAGAAAGTGTGGAACTCAGATATGTCCTGGCTGAATGATCAGAGTTCCTTTTTTATTTTTATTTTATTATGTTATTTTTAAAGATTTATTTATTATATGTGTGTGAGTACACTGTCATTGTCTCCAGACACACCAGAAGAGGGCATCAGGTCTCATCACAGATGGTTTTCAGCCACTATGTGGTTGCTTGGAATTGAAGTCAGGACATCTGGAAGAGCAGACAGTGCTCTTAACTGCTGAGCCATCTCTCCAGCCCATGGGTGGGTTCTTTAGATAGTTTGTGGAGTGACTCAGTCTGGGTCTCCATCAGGCTTGTTGTTTCCCCGGGGAACATGGAGGTTTCCCCTTTATCAGTCTTGAGGATGTTATGATCCTCTAATTTTGTAGGGCCACTGAAGCTTGTGAGTTTACACAAAGAGGTAAGATTTAGAAAGGTTAGCATTATCATTTATACTGGCTTGTTTTATGTGTCAACCTGACAAAAGCTGGAGTTATCACAGAGAAAGGAGTCTCCCTTGAGGAAATGCCTCCATGACATCCAGCTGTGAGGCATTTTCTCAATTAGTAATCAAGGAAGGAGGGCCTATTCTATTGTGGGTGGTGTCATTCCTGGGCTGGTAAGAAAGCAAGCTGAGCAAACCAGTAAGTAGCACCCCTCCATGGCCTCTGCACCAGCTCCTACCTCCAAGTTCCTGTCCTGTGTGAGTTCCTATTCTGATTTCCTTTGGTGACCAACAGCAATGTGGAAGTGTGAGCTGAATAAACCCCTTCCTCCCCTACTTGCTTCTTGGTCATGATGGTTTGTACAGGAATAAAAACCCTAACTAAGACATCATTGTCTGTAATCTACACTGAAACTCACATTGTAGGAAAGACAGTAGACACATACCTTTGTGTCATAGTAGAAGCTTGGAAAATGATTTGGGGTGAAAAGCAAGAAGACTCTTTAAGGTGAGCTCAGGGAAGACAAACCTTCTGTGAGACAGAAGGGGCAAGAGCTCCCTTGATCCTGATTTGCAGTATGCTTAGAGATTGTGAAAGAGGGACTTCTTTCCTCTATCCAGAAGCCTGGATGCACATAGATCAGATGTGCTTTCTTGATGAGGAACAGTTTTAAATTTACATTTACAATACAACTGGAGGAAATTTAAAATCTTGAGCTTGTGACTACAATAATAGTGGATCAACAGTGGAAGGCTTTATCAAAGTTAGACTAACAGTGGTTCAGAACTCTAGTGGTTAATAGTAAACTTTTGAACTTTTGAAGCTTAATACAGCAGTAACATAGTGAGAGGTCAGAATCAGAAGCATTTCTCCTGTTCACCTTATATCATTTTTTTATCGCCTAAGTCATCACGGGAGGTCTGAGTCAGGTGTAGAGGTCAGGGGAATCTTGCAGCGCTGACTAGCAATCAGGTTGCTTCTTGAATTATATAGATTTCATAGAATAATGACAGATGATCCTGGAAATACAGATTAATTCATTTTTGTCTCTGGACATGTGTGGGGTTACAAATTCAGTCACAATGAGGGAGTACAAAGAGAATAGCTTTTATTTTTATTATTAGCCTTATAACTTCAACTCAAAAATATCTAAAGAATGTCTCAGCCAAAGGAAACACATGTATTATCTGATAGCCTGCCTGCTTTGGGCTGGCAGCCTTTGCAGTTTTAAAGCACTCCAGACAAACAGAAAATATGTCAAGCAGTCTTTTTTATGAATATCAAACACTAATAAATCATTCTTTTTGCTGTGTAAGTTTGTGATCTCTGTTACAAAGTAGAAAAAGTTTATTTTAGTCAATCTATTTTATCTACTTTTGTTTTATTCTTCCAGGCTGTACCCTGTCCAATGTCAAAAGTCCCCATAATCTATTACAGTTTGAACAATGTTTAAAAGTTCAAAGTTCAGGCTGGAGAAATGGCTCAGAGGTTAAGAGCACAAGCTCCTCATTTAGAGGTCCTGAGTTCAATTCCCTGCACCCACATGGTGGCTCACAACCATTTGTAATGGGATCCGATGCCCTCTTCTGGTGGATTGGGACCTCAAGGAGAAGACAGGGAGGAGGAGAGAAGCTATGCCAGAGAAGAGTACAGGACAGAGCAGCAGAGCCACCATGTAAAGGGACCAACAGAACGTGGCAGAGGGATGCTCAGTTGGATCTAGAGCAGCCATGATGGAACATGGAAAATAGTAACTATGCAAGGTGTCACTAAACTGCCCAGGCTGGCTTGAACTTACAATATTCCTGTCTCAGCTGTGCCACCACCTGTGGTCCTCTGAGGGTTATGACTCAAACCATTTGGCAGTTTCTCTGCCATAGGGTGAGTCCATGTAAGCCCTGATTAGCTTTTGTCCTAAGCTACTGGAACTTGAGTCCTGCCTTCAGACTGACATTACCACTTAAAAGGGGGGAGGGAGTGTTGTTATTTTATGCATATGGGAATCTTGTCTGAATGGCTATGCACCAAGCACACCTTCATGTACTACCTGTGGAAGGCAAAAGAGGGCCTCAGTTTCCTTAGAACTAGAGTTGCAGAGAGTTGTTAGCCACCAAGTGGACTACGGGAGTAGAAACCCCATCCTCTGCAAGACAAACAGGTGTTCTTAATCACTGAGCCATCTTCCTAACCTCACTTTGGTCTTGTGCATAGTGCTTTGCTCACCTCAAGCCAAGCTAGATCTTGTGCCAAGCCTAGCTCATCACAACCAGTTTCTCAGACAGATGTGCAAGCTCTGCCATGAAGTCAAGTTTATTTTGAACGCCTTCCATGGAGGTTCTGGAAAGCAAATGTAAATAGGATCCCATGCTTGTCCCAAAGAGACCCCAGTGTGGGGAGACAGCACCTCCACTCATCAGCACATTGTGCATACCCTGTGTATGTGAGGGGGCCTCCCTGTGCCTTAGGATATTCCAGGGTAGCCATTCGATGTGGAGGAAGCTGCCTGTGCCAGTGCCTGGAGGGCTGGGGTCACACCTGTGGCTGACACTTCCTGACTATCCAGCTATGCCATCTCAGTTAAGCCCTGTACAAGGCCTTGGGTAATGACATACTCATTCACAGTCTGGTGGGTGTGGAGTGATTGCTACAGTACCTCAAGCCAGGGGTGCAATCCTGGCTTGGGCTCTCCAGCATGAAGGGATGTTAGAGACAGCTTCTAGAAAACACCATTCTGTGGGTGGGTTCTGACATGAGTGGGGATAGGAAATGGATTGATTATCCAAAGGAGTGGGACAACAGGGATGGACAGGAGAACAGGTCAATGCCTCTTCAACAAAGGGCACAGAAGCCAGAACAGCTGTAGGGAATAGAGGTAGGAAGAAGCAGGAGTGCTGGATTACTGATGTAACCAGGAAGGCCATGACACATAGGACTCTGGCTAGGCAGACTGAGTCCTAAGAAGGGCACACTCTAGGGAGTGGACAGGCTGCCCTGGCAAAGAATAATTAGATGGACCAAGACTACAAAAGACACTTGAGGTAGAATGTGTCATTGCAACACGGTTTTCACATCACGAGCCCATAGAAAATAGTTACTGGGTGAGGGCCACCAGTGGCCAGCACCAGGCCCACAATGACCCTTCATCATCAGTAAGGCCTCTTCTGCAGAGCTGCTATCATGGGGACTGGCGACAGCATGGACAGTGCCCACAAATCTGGATACCGGGACTGGCTCAGCGAGGTTCAAGGCAGCTCCATCTGCCTGCACGGCTCCGGCGTAGGAATGGACTATCCTCATAGAGTGGATGGGGCCTTGTGGGGTATGAAAGGTGTCAGATGCAGCAGAAGAGAGTGGGGCTGGGTGTTTGGACCTGTGCCCGGGCAAGCAGCGCCACCTGCTGGGCAGGCATATACGCTGTTGAGGAAACTAAGGACTCTGGGTCTCCCTGCAGCTGTCCTAGGTCTATATAAAGGGGCAACTCAGGAGGTGTGGGAGAGGAACCTGGGACCCACCCTAACTCTGTCCTGTTCACTCTTCTCCATAACCCTCCACCTCTCCGGCACTCTACCCCATGTTAGATCTGGTTCAC